TTAAATTATTAAAATAGTCATTTTAAATAAAGGAGCTGCGATTTAAAATATAATTGAGAAAATGTGACACATTTAAAACATCAGTGAGGATGCATACACATGTACAGTATATGCTGCATGCTACAGATTCATGGCTCTTATATGCTTAATTGAATAAACAAACTGCCAATAACTGACATCTTAACAGACAGTTTGGACCATTTACCAGTTTGCTGAGTAAATTAGACCACACTTCAGATTGACACAATTTTATTATATTGAACATACCTGTCTCTGGGCCCCTTTTCAGCAAATATAGACCTTTGAAATGGATTTCTAATATTTCATCATAGTTTTTTAATTCTTGGCCAGATAAAAGTTGTGGTCTGGGGGCTTTTATCATTACTGATATTTTGTAGTAATTATATGTCATAGTATAATTACCCTTTATTAATCCACCAACAGCTCCTCAATGTTCACCAAACCCCCGTAGCTCCAGTAGCGGAGGCACGAAGTCAGGCACACGCACTGATTACAATACGTCTCCTCTGAAGGAATAATTAATATATGGGGCACAGGTAATATTGGATAATTATCTGGTCAAGATGGGAGGATAATAAGGCACCGTAGCCTACCTAGCTCCCTCTGGGATGCATGTTAATGGTGGCACTAGACCGAATAATAGTTTGAATAGGAACTGTTAGGTAGCGTTAGAGGATGGGCAGATTTTATTAAGGGAGAGACAATGGGAATTATAACTTAAACTCTTCAAATGCCTCACTTCCATCATTTAATTGAATCAAAGAATAAATTTATTTTTTATCTGAAAAATTTACATCAGATGTGCATGTAATGGGGAAAAAAGTCAGTTTGAATTCAAATTTAAGTGACATATTTTTCTCTCCTACTCCTCTCCCCAAAAGAGATATGGCCTCATTTCTGCTCAGGTAAGCCTATTCTATTGTAAAGCAGCAAGGTGTGTATAGCCGGTGGGTATTTAGGTGGAACATGTGGCCGGGACGCATGGGGGCGACGACAGAAATGATCCTAGGACAAAAACTCAGCACCATGGCGTTTTAAGAAACTCGTTGACATTGTGTGTAGTGTTAGAGTAGTGTAGATAGCAGGCAGCGTGGTGTCTACGGTGTGAACAAGCTGGGAGAGGTCAGTAACGACAGCATAACCCGATAAAAAATTATGGTGGAAGTTTCATTAACTTGAGATACAATTGTAGGTAGGTAGGTGGAGAATGTTTACAGAGAAACTGATTCATGGAACAGTGTGGTAGATCTGCTACTTATTATTCATACATGCCATAGTAATATGTAAACAGTTTAAAACATACTGTGAAAAAATAACATAAGAGCAGTCTCTTTAAATTCGGCATTTTAAATAGATAACATAAGTTATAGGTGCACGAACAGGATATTTATTGGTTTGTGTTAATTCAATTGTGGTATAGCGGAACTGAATCACTGTCAATCCTTACTACGTGTTCATAGATACTACCTGTATTTTACCAGTATATTTATTATATGGATATGTATATATACATAGACATTAAATTAAGGGCAGTGGAATTCAGCCTTAAATGAATGAGGCTAGAGGTAAGTGAGGCCACCTTATTTAGCTACAAGGGCAAAGTAAACAAAGGAAAGGCATGATTGTTTACTTTCATTTAAATAGGTGTGATTCTTTTGAAAGGGTAATATGATGTTAATGTTTTCAACTGTGCTCTGTTTGGTCTCAGTGCAGGTCTCTATTGAAAGTTCAGTTGAATGCACTGACATGTAGATTACTCAAGTGAAAGCTTTAGTTTTTATCAGTACAACAGTAGTCGACCTGATGCCTTACATGCAACATGCGGGTTTGAAATTGGATTAATTTATGAGGATATACAAGTGAACAGTAAAGAGGGAAAGAATATAAAACTGCTAGTGCACTCATTTATTTTTCGAATAGACCATTTCAGATTGAATGTCATTCAAAATCTCTGTCACGTACTCCCCATAGACCAGTTTTCTTTTTGAAATTTGAAAAAAAAGTAATGAATAATTTATACGTTAGCGAGCACCTTGCATAGTGATTGTTGTAGTCCTGGAGTTGACAGCCTACTTTGCCATAATCAATGAGAAAAAAAATATGAATACAAACATTTGAAAGAATCTGTGAAATTAATTTTGAAATAGACTGTTTTCTTCTGGATAAATCAGCTGTACAATTTAAAAGGCCTGTGTATGTAACAGACAGGTGTCGGGTTGGAAGTGTTGGAGGGTTTCCTCTCTCTCTCTCACCAGCTGCCTTTGCCTGCAGGGCTGAAACAGCCAGTATTAAACATCGGGATTTCAGGCATCATATTCAAGCACACTTACTAATTAATACTTCTAGTTTACATTAAGGGTTAGCAACATTAGAGGAACACTGCCACAGAAAGGGATTTGCTATCACAATATTATATGACAAGGGTTGGAGAAGTCTGAGTTGTTGGCTATAATAGAAAACTGGAGTGAAAAGGTAAAAAAGATTAATGAAGGGGTCTCTTACTCTAATCTTTACACTTAATCCTACCCCTGGGGATACTGCTGGAGACTTAGGGGGTGGTGTTGGATTTGCTGGAAGAAAGGACACAGAGCAGGCTGAAGATGTTGCCATAGGTACAGAGTAGAAATAGGGGCAATCCTGGGTTTTTTCTTTGTGATTTACCTCACTTTTGAACACTGAACTAAAAAGTATACCTATCACTTGTTTTAATTTAAGTTTTGCAACGAAACATTTTAACATGTGAATGCCAAAAAAATAATTTTGTGAAGACTTATGTATGGTAAAACCTGATTAAAGATTAAGAAAAATGAACGACCCCCCCCCCTTTGAGCCTCCCCTTTACCAACCCTGCCATTGCTTCGACCCCTTCCCCCCAGCTGTGAGGTACTGTTAACCCTGAATAGAGGAGCTCTTACCTGTGATAATGAATCCTCTCTTAAGAAGAACTCCAACATGTAGGCACAAACACTCCTGATTTCAGTACAAAATGGTTTAAGACTCTCTCCAATAATTGAAAAAAAGTAGTTTTGAATTGCAGAGTAATGTTACAGGAAATACAACTTGTTATATCTTGGGCAAGCATTCTGCTTATTGATCAGGTAAAATATGAGCTGTAGTCTTAATTCCATGTTGGCTGTAACAGGTAAGCTGAAGTTCTCTCACAATGTTAATTTGATTATAATTTTAATTATTGAAATAATATTATGCATCTAAATGAATAAGTAATATAGGAACTAGTTATGTATAATATCAAAACAGTTATCAAAATAGTTATGATCAACAACTTGGTGACCAAAACAAATCATTAAACGCATTAGACCTGATAATTGTGATGGAAAGAGGCACACAATTATTTTTGTTTAAACACCTGTTAATAAAACTGTTAATTCTGTGATAATGCAACAAGTTTACTGCCCACCCAAGACATCACACCTCATAATTGACCACCTCAGCCAGATGACCAGAAATGACCAAATGTTTGTCTCCATAGAGCAGGTAGTGGTTCACACCTAGGACAGGTGAAGTGGACTTAGAGTGGACATTAGTGGTAATGAAGTAGTTTGACCAACACTTATATTATGCAGTGCAGCAGTGCACAGATTAAGGCACTCGTCTCACAGTGTGAAATGAAAAACTTTGCAGAACAAGTGTAAGGCACAGGACGGTAACATCTGTAGATGGAATAGAGATAGGCCAGGTAAATAAAGAGCACCCCTTCAGGGGTGGATTTAGGCTGTCTTCTGGGTCTTCCAGAACACAGTCAGATTTTTAAGTTTACATTGATGGATATGTAATTTTTTTCTGTGGGAATTAGGATGGATCAACAAAGATAATTTGGAAGACTGTCAGAAAATATATCTGGATCCACACTTGCCCTTCGTAACTCCCCATGTCTCTCATCACAATGGTTACAACCCTCTCTATACCTCTACCTGCAATTAACAGTACTTACCCATTATCACCAGGGCTCTAACGGGACGCAGATTACAGGTGACTTTTAGGGAGCTCCGGCGTCCCTTCCCCAGTCACATTTGTTCTCAGGTAATTAAGTGAATTAACACAGAGTTTGCTTGGAAATTGGTCTTGTTTCCCACTCCAGGAAGTATTCAGAACACTTGCGTCTCTGTTGACCATTTGTTCTGTTACACCTGGATTACCTGTGGTTTCCTTATTCTCAGGTTAAGGCTATTTGTCTCACCTGTAGTAATTAGCAATCTGTTTCTGTGGCTGAGGGCAGATTAACTGAGCAGTAATAGAATTATTTGATTTTTTCCATATAATAATGAATGAAATACTTGTGTCTCTACTGGGTATATTAAATTATGATACTTAAAAAAAAGAAAAAAATTATCAGCCTTGTATCCTTGTCATGGATATTGATGATAAATACTGAAAAAAGAAAAATAACAATATTATTGAACCAACTAAATGTCAAGGCAGACAAATACATGCAAAAAAGGAATCTTTCAATTTGATTTGTTTCTCTATGAGCAAATAATCAATAAAAAAACTGAATGCACCATTGGGGTTTCCCAATTTTTTTTGCACCATTATGAGCACACGTCATAGTTGATATTGCTATTCACCTTTTTCCTGACTTTACTGTTGGACATATTGTATGAAGTTGGACTGAGAAAGGCCTCTAAATGGTAAAAGACCAGGGGTCAGTTATTATAGAGACACTGGGGTGACCAAGGGACAGTGATTACAAGAGGAGTGACCACTCCCCACAGTTGGAGTGGTTTGATCCCACTGAGCAGAAAACTGCCTGATGTTGTAACGCAACTGCTTCCTAATACGCTAATGGCATGCTTAACTCGGGGATGTTGTTTTGGAGTCTTATCAGACTAAAATATAACATTTCCACCAATAACAATCCAGCACTGTTTTTGCTCTTGACGTAATTACTCTAATTTTGGCTTGCGAAGTGTAATCAAGTCAAGAGTTTTTGCATTTAAGGGTTTAAAATGGCAGAAGAACTTGCTCTATATATGAGAGTTTGTGTAACAACATCTCGAGGAATTAACGCCACAATTAAATCAGTGAATCCGTTGAGCGGCCATTGTCCACCAGCGTAGGTGGTAGCTCTGAAGCCTGGCAGGTAGTCACTTTCACAATAACCTTAACAACCCATGGCACAGGGCCCTAACTGAATTATACCAAGGCTAGGTTATGGAGCCGAAGAAGCCATTTGCAATATCCATGTTCAGTGTCCCATGCAATTCACATAGAGACTAAGGAGAGGATAATCTGAAGGTTTCTAAACATTCATTAAGAAAGGATTAGGACCACTGCTAGCCTGCTTGGGTGATTTTCAAAGCCAAAGGGAACATAACGGTGCTGACTTTTGTACCAAGAAGAGCAAGAAAAGTCAGCCCTTTTCAGTATTGATGGTTTTATCATAAAGAAAGGCACAATACTTGGGGCTTTTCTATGTGCTATTGCTGTTTGCCATATGTGATATGTGGAGAGAGGATGGACACCAAAGGCAGGTGGTAGAGACACAGAGAGACAACGAAAGAGATGAGAAAGCATCTTCTGTTACTGGATGGTGAGACCACTGCTGTAGTTTTTACTGTGAGATTTGCTGGAAATTTATTGAGAATACTTTATGTGTTTAGCAGTGAAACAAACATCAGTCAGAAGGGAGACAACACGTAGTATATAATGCTAGGCCCAGGTTTTTGATTTTGGCTATTACAGTATTGGTGAGTACACTTTTTCGAAGCTAGTTTGAAGTTATTCAAAGATGCAGTTGATTGTTTTTGACAGCATATTTAATCCTGCTGCAAAGGCCAGAAGCTCATAGCAATTGTAAGGAATGCAATATTTATATTCACATGTCCATTTCACCATATGTTCAAAGGGAAAAATTAGCTTTATTTTCAGGCTTTTTCCAATGAAAAATGCATCAGATATTTCCTTTTTGGATAGTAAAATAGCAGAAAGCATCAATCCAGGTAGTTTAATATTGAAAACTTTGGTTTACATCATTCAATGAACTGGTACTATCAATATAAGATGAAGGATGGAGGAGAGTATGTAAGCTATGCTACTATGGTATTCCTGTAGTAAGATATATATAGTGTGTGCTGATTTGATTTGAATATGTCTTTAGGTAGACTGGGAATACTACAGTAGTGAAATTGTTGTGCTCAATTGTTGGTGAATCAAGTAACATTCTCAGCTGATATTTATTGTTAGTTGTGAATATAAGTAAAATTTGCAAGACATTTGCCGGTTTAATAATTGTAAGTTTGCGAAAGATACTAGAGGAGAAACAGTACTGAGCTTAGAAACCAAAGTTTGTGTTGATAAATATTGGTAATAAGGTAAAATACCTGGGGTCTTGGCAGTATGGGATAAGGATGGACTGAAAAGTCGCCTTATATAAGAACCCTTATAGAAAAGAAAATGCATTCTTATTATCAGTTTTTTCTCTGACCATCACACAATGAATGCAGAGCACTGGCTACAAGAAAGTCATGACTCTGGTTAATTGTGGCACAGTTTTCATTAACTCAGTGTTTGTGTTTATAGTAAACATACATCTGTGCACTGAATTACTTGGAAACAGTCATCTTATCCAAATATACAGAAGACCCACGCTATGGAATTGTCTATGGCATTTTAAAGGAAGCATGTGCTGAAATTTATTTTATGAAAACAATAGAAAATCATGACATTAGCAAGGGTCAGATGTGACGTCTCTGTTTACATATTATTATCTTGTCATTAATGTAGTCATATTGACACAGTCAGATTTGTATAGATGTGCTTTCTTCTAAAGATGGAGGAGGAAGGGTAAAGAGTTTGTGTAAATGACTCTCACAGCCAGCACAAGTCGTGTTCAACGTGTTCGTCTCAATGCATCACATGCAAATGAAATATAGCCTAGACAGTGTGCTAAATTATTCATTTTTTATCCTTCCATTGTCCTGTCTGACTGAGAATGATTTAGAATACTTTTCATGTATCATGTTTTTTTTCTAATACACTTTTCCTCGTACTTTGCATTTTAGTATTGATTCCTGGCATTTTGACATGTTCTGATTTTAATAACATGTTAAACAAAAGAACTACGCAGTTTGCCTAGAGCTGTTGCCAACTGTATTTTAGAGCAATGATGTTTAATTCAGTGAACATGAGTCTATACAATTTATTCCATTGATAAGTTGAATATGACATCATTGAGAATACTTATTCAGGTCCATGTTCTGTTTGATTTTCCTGGAGTTACCTCAAAAATAGTTTTTAAACCTGCTTAACCTTGTGATAAAGTAAAATGATTAATTTACTAGAAAATAAAAAACAAAATGTTAATAAAAAAAACTTCTGTGTACGTATCAGTGTCAGATCATAAGAAAATGTTTCCCGTCTTCATTATGATATTGTTATTTTACCTCTGGGGTTATCTATTTCACTCAGGGTAATTGCTCTGCACTCATTGTACTGTATTTATTATATAATCTCCACATTTTCATCATGAGCTAGGACATTATCATTAAACTTCACTAATCAAAATGTTCCTTGTTAGGTAATGGCACAATTGAATCAACTTATATCTCTAAGAATACATCTCATTCTCGTTTGGCCTTATCATTGCTAAAATGCAAATTATATTCCTCATTCTAAGAAAAGGAAAAATAATCCATGCCATTTTAAAACTTTTCCTTATCTCCTAAGTCAATGATAGTATGATAAGGTAGATATTGCCCACAGAAAAGTGCAAGGCTTAATCACAGTATGTTAATTTATCAGGGTTTATCAGCGAAGCAGTGGACCCACAGGTCTGTTCTAGAAGAAAACACAGTGAGATCATTTCCACTGATCTAGATCTAGGTGTGCTGATGTGTATGTGATTCTGTCTCAATCAGATCAGATCCTGGGTGAAGACATCCTGACTTTACTGTTACTATCTACACAGGGGTTTATCTGAGTGGGCAGAACAACACAGGCGTGACTCCCCCCTGATTGTCCAGTCTGGAGATAACGTCTCCTTCTCCCCCAGACCATTGTCCACTGTGAAGTCACAGGAGGGATGCGGAATCCCTATTATACTGATTAAACCAGTGGTCAGTTATTATCCCCCCTCCTCCATCCTCTGTCCAGGTATATCAGGTATGACCATCTCTGTGAGTGCAGCCTTAATGACTGGCCAGCACAAGCTGTATAGTAGCAAATATTTGATTGGCTGATTGGGATGTACTAGCTGCACATTATCCAATAAGAAAATTAGGGATGCTTTTGGATGACCAATCATGGGAGAGCTGTGTTTCTTAATACATTACTATTACTCTTTGGAAAGTGGTCATTTCTTGAAGGGGAGAGGCTGGAGAGGCTGGTTTAAATCAGATAGTAAGTACTGAAGTATATATGCTTAACTCAACATAGAAAATATTTCAATGGAATATATTTAAAATTAAAAAACAAAATTATTTTCATCAAATTACAATGGTCTAGTGGCTATCAGCTTGTTTAATATATCTCCCAAGGTAGTGTAAAAGATTATTAATATTCCTCTCGGCTTCTCATGTTACCTTGTCCCCACCTTCTCTGGTTTTAATAGGGGGGCTTGTGGTGCGTTATGTCACATTTGTCTTCCTTAATAGTGACATTAGCCTGGCAAGATATGTGATTAAATACAGCAAAATAGTTCCACCATGTGCAAGGGAATAGAGAATAGAGTAAGGTGCACTGCAGAGCTGACCTTGCGTTGGGTAAGATTTTTTTTGTCGAAATTTCGAGAGGATATGGTTTTAAACAAAATAACTAAAATCCAAGTTTGGTCTGCAATTAAAGACAAAGATATCTGGTATGTTTCAGTTGAGGATAGATCTCAATAGTTTTAAATATTGAGTGCATTATTGCATCTCAGAAAACAAGCCTTATGTATTCTTGAAATGAACTACTACTGATTAGCTGTAGTCAACCAGAAATTTAACTTTAAATCATGAAAATCTGATATTTGATATGATATTTGTTGATGTGTATCAAGACTTGAGCTTAGTTATTTCAGCAGTGTGGGTATAACCACAGCTGTAATTATGACCATTTAGATGTTGATATTTTGGTGAAAAGGTTCCCCCTTGAAAAGCTGAAAATATAGATACCCAGGACAAGTTAAAATTATTCAGTTTAAGAATATAATACTTGCCAAAAAAATTGTTGTCATTAAAAGATGTTAGTATTTATTTTTGATATCATTTTACTTGATGGAAAAGGTTCTCAGTATCTAAGTCCTTTTAATTGTTTTGGAAAAACTCTTGCTTTACTCCAGATTCTGTTTATTTTCAACCGCACAAAGAGCCACTTTGTCCTGATGTTATAAAGTTGCACAACTGTAAAATATTGTATTTGGTGAGGAGCATAGGTTATCTACAATAAGACAAGTCAGCTGAACCAATTGTTGAGATTATGTTTGTAAAAAGAGAGCGAGAAAAAAGAAACCCATTGTGCTATCTCTAAAACAACAAGATGTGAACAGAAGAGCAAAAACAGCTGAGGAAAGATTTGATGGAAAACAGACATATCATGAGGCTGACTTGCTATTTCTCCTTGATTAGATATTTTGATATCAAAAACACAACAAAAAATTTTTATGATGTTATGTGTTACATGATAGTATTGATGAAAAATGTAACAATATCTGCCATTTTTCATCTAAAACTTGTTATTGATAATAACTTATAGATGCTAACAATACTAGGCAGTTCTTCCCATGTTGTTTGTTAGAGGAATGAAAAACCACATTTATTAAGAGAAGAGTATTTAATAAACACCAGCCTCTGTACTGGTAAATTGTTATGGTTTGAATTAGTCTCACCCTTTTCAGGGATTGAAAACAATTGGATTTGTTGGAGCAACATCACTTTGGGAGAGGGAGAGTGTGAGAGAATGGCCTTTTCGGTCTTTTCAATAAAAAAAAGGCCCGGCGTCAGTGTGTGTGTACGAGTGTGAAAGAGCAGATATGAAATTAAAAATTATTGTCAAGAGGTGTTCAGTGATGTAAAAGAAACATATTATGTATGTTTCCTCGCAGGTTAAATGTCAATCTCTGGAGAGAAGTGTTAAACAAGGCCTCATTACAATTCCTGTATATATAGATTGGTATCTGGAAGCTATCTATCTTTATGCATTTATTCATACATACAAAATGCATAATTAATAGATCATTTATTGTGTGAAAACTGCCTGATGTATAGTACAAAGTACATAAGGAAATAAAACTCCTCATTTAATATTTTTACATCATAGCTCTGTAAATATCATGTCATTTGTTCTAATGTTATATATTCTGAAAGCTAAGATATGTAAGAAATTATCCAAGCTGACAGATCAGTCGTAATGGTCTTAAAGGTTTCCTAATTCACTCTGTCCTTTCAGATCACTTTGTAAGCATGGCAACCCAGTGAACGGAATGAGCCATTAAGAATTACCGTTTCCATGACAACCCAGAACACAGGATAAGAAAAAAGCAAGTAAGCTACAGAAAGGTGAATTGCACACGGGAGTGAGTGGGAAATTGGAGTTGACACTAACAGGGGATAACTGCAGTGTTTCGAACCTGAGCTATTTTTATTTCTGATCCCTGGGATTTACTACAACATCAACAACAACGCGTAACTTGGCCCTGTGGTTAAGAAGCAGTGAAACCAAAGAAACGACCGTTTGTATTTTATTACCTGAAAACTTCACCTTTCCTTCATAACTGCCAGTTTTCTGATGAACTCTGATTGGTCTGGCAATAATTTACGCCCGTCTGACAGGTTTAGCAGTGAAATATACGCAGATTGGATTAAATCGAGCAGGGAGGAAGCCAAACTCTGACAGCAGCCAAAATAAAGTTGTTCAATTAGTGGAGAAAAAGTTGTACATACAAAAATAGTGGCTAATTTTACAAGGAGGTTGTGTCTAGGCGACCCAGTTGAAAGATTAAAGATAGATTTTTGAAATCTGAAGAGACTGAGATAAACGGACTTCACAGCTGATAAGGTAATAGTTAGGTCAGTCTATATGTACAGTTGTATATATTAATAATTTGGATAAGAGAAGTGACAGAAGTTTAGTTTTGTCCTTGGAGCAGTGGAAGTTGGTTTTATCAATACAACTACAACATGTGGAAGTAACTGAGGAAATGTGTAATGTTTAATACAATAAGTTTAACAAACAGGGGATGTTAGCTTAAAAGGTGGGTTTTATAACTTATATATTTTAGATACTATATTAAGTGGGTAACCCCATCATTCAGGGATTTAAAAGCTAAGTTTAGGTAACAGTTAGGTTTATCACAGTACACTATAGACTCCCTATCTAAATCTTCATAACACATAGTACATAGTGTGTATTGAAGGCTAACCTATTGCAAGCAAACACACAGTTGTTATCAAAGAAAATCTGGGAGCTCTTTCAAACCTTTGAGGCTTGATTTAATTAGGACTGCATGTCATCTTACAGTACTCATTCAGAAGTATCCTATTATAAATGAGGTTTTCAGTAAAATTTTAAGAATTTTCATTTTGGAAAAAGTGCAAGAGGGTGAGAAAAAGAGATCTTGTTAAATAGAATAAATATATCAGGTTCACCAGAACCACGAGTGAATTTGGTTGGAAAGCTACGACCATACTTTAAGCTGCAGGAAGTCAAATTATTTATTGAGTTTCAAGAAGGGAAGGAAGATCATATAAGATAGTGTTACAAATTTATTGTTATGTTATACGGGGCAGACAACAAACGGTGGGTACAGCACGTGTTGAGGAAAAGCTTTAATGTCAAAAGTTCTCTGCGCAGCCTTTTTATGATCTCATAAAATATAGCAAACCAGTTTAAAACTAACTAACTGTGCCTCATTAGGTTTTGATGGTGCTATCCTGCTGCCAGGAGGCCTGAAACATTGCTTCTGGGTCCTGTTCCCTGTGGGGATCTCCTATTCCCTGTGGCAACTCTCAGTCTGTGTGAATACTGTACGATGTCATCACTGTATTGTACCTGTAAGCTTGATCTATGTACAAATTAACCCACCTTCAGGCACGGCTGAATATTAAGCAGTAACAGGATCATATTTTCATAACCTCGGTGTATGAAATTGGTGCCAGATTTGAAACTGTACTCTTTATTGTTTCAGGTAACTCGGAACGTCGCTGGGAGTGCTGATAGGAGCCTGCATTGCCGTGGCAACCACTTTGAGGGAAAAATTAAATTCAGGACCCGCTAATTTGAAAAGTTGCAAGCACAAACATTGGCAGGCTGTTGTTGCCTGTGTCCAAGGCAAGGAGTGAAGGAGCGTAGTGTGCTCTGTTATAGCAGATCTGTGGGAACTCTTCTGTTTGGTACCAGACAGAGAAGCCAGTTTCAGGACTAAAAATGGGAGAGAGGAAAATTGCTCAAATTTTAAGGAGAACTTTACGCAAGAGAATGGCAGGATGGATGTACGCTGCCATTTTTACGACGCTTTTCATGTGCGTGCATGCACAAGATACAACGGCATCATGGAAGCAGATGCCAACGGCTCAAGCAGTAAACAAGGGGGGAGATGTGACATTATCATGTGAAATTAACAACCCGGGACAGTTTCAGATCAACGTGATCTGGTCATTTAATGGCAAATCTATCACATTTAACAGGAATCCTTTCAGTCCCTCCACAAGTGATCCAAGGAGGTCAATTGTAGGTGCTAACGTAGAAACAGACTTCAATCTGAGGATTACAAACTTGAGTTTAGTAGATAATGGCGTATACTCATGTCAAGTGCAGGGGACAGACCTGACAGCCGACGCCAAGCTCACGGTTGTAGGTAAGTAAATGGTTTTATCTCTGTTTGTTTGTTAGTTTGTTGGCCCTGTGTCTGTCAGAAAGCATGTCTGTCTGTTCGTCTGTCCAACTGACCGTCTGTCTGACAGTTCATTTCTCTATACCTGTCTTTGTCTTCATCCAGGTTTCTCTATACACATTTTAAATCTCAGCAGGTGTACTATTTATGTTCGTAATAAGGGAACCATGAGTTGACTGCTGTACCTCGTGCAGAAACCTGTTAAAAATACACAACAGACACTGTCATTTACAACTGGGCCAAAACAACCACAATACATCCTTTGTTTGTTTGTAGAAAAGTACAAAAAAAGACAAGAAATGTTTTACGACATGTCTTACGATATTGCGTGTGTACCGCACATTCAACAACACCTAGCATGGTAGAAATTGATATCATCAAATTCCCATAAACCTGTATATGGGATGTCACAGTCCCCGTGTCTGTGTTGTCACCACAGCATACACAGGGAGGACTTGATGTACTGGGACATGGAGATATATCATCACTAGGCTGGGAAAATACAAAACCTTATACTGCTTGAGTGAGGAGACCTTTGGGAGTTAAAGGTTGAATAATGATGTTGAGATACACAAATCTGAGTGTTTTTGCTTAGATTCACAGTAGAAAGTTTTAAGGGCATTTATTCAAAATACTCAAATCTGAATGTTGGTTTATAAAGATTAAAAAAAAAAAAACATATTACCTTTAAATAGTTCTTCACTTGCACTGAGTTACATAACAGCATTTATAACTCTTCTTTGATAAACAAAATTTTCAAAGAAAATAACTCTGACAGTCTCTTCGCACAGTCATATTTCACCGCAGGGAGCACCAAAAGCTTCAGCCATTAAAAAACATGCTGTAGCCAGCAAGCCAATAAATGACATGGGACCACTTCTACCTGAAGATGCAACACTTGGATATGCTTAGTCAGGGCCATAGTATAAAACAGATAACCACAAAGCAGAATAATAAGGATACTGTGTTTATTATACAGGTAAAAGGCTCATATTTGCTTTTTAAATAGGGCCCTTGATATGGATTTTTAGTGCACCAGCTGTGGAACACCTGCAGCAGAATATGTCTAAATACACAACTAAACTTTTCCATTTAACCTGGAACACAAATGTCACTGAGATTTGTCAGAGAGAGAGATCCGTGCTAGGTGCTAGATAGAGGCGGAGGGAGAATCCTATCTCCAAGCCAGAAGACCTGGTGTAAAGTAGATGATGGCATATCACTTCAGGATGTAATAAAAGGAAATGAATTCATTTAAGATAGGAGCAATTAATGCTTGCTCTGATATCTTATGATACCTTTGTTGTCTATTAAAGTTTCATTTGTTTTTTTTTCAAAATAAAAAGGAAATCTGTTTTTCAAAATATTATTTTGGGATTTAGGTAATAATTACAATACTGGAATTGTCTCCGTATTTTTTTCCGTCAACAAGGCAGTAAGCCAGATTTGAAAATAGCCGTTCAGCCAAAACTTGAAAATATGTTGGACTTAGAAAAGTTCAAATTCCCATAAAAATATACCAAATCAAGGGGACAAAGTATCACATCATTAAAATGAGGAGTGAATTATTTCATGTAATTTAAACCCACTGCTAAAATGTTATTGGGCATTTTGTGTATAGCAAGTGTGAGAAATTGATAATGTAAGATATGTCCAAGAGTATCAACAATTTTCAAAATAACATGGCTAATTTATTGTGTGAGATTGAAATTCTGTCCATGAAGAAAACATGCACTTTAACTGCTAAAATCTACAAATACTGGTTCCTACAGTGTTGATGTCAACTGTTAGAAGTTGAGGCTGGAAGGAAGGTGAGTAAAGAGCGATTGTTCAAGATTTAATGAGGAGAGCATCTGTTTTTGGCATTTATTACATCATTTGAATGTCTGGCAGTTAGGTCATATTACTTGAATGTGAACCAAAGCCCTCTTGTCTCTACTGCAAAAAATGCAAGAGCAGCTTGACTCTGATGCTAACAGTTACTACACATTACAAGTATACATAACAACAGTAAAAAGCACTTCATGAAATTATGTCATTTTCCATCAATTGTTTCTTGTTTTAACTTACACTTATTTGAGGAAATTTAGAGTTTATAAACAGTTCAAAATATTGACTCATTTGAAATCAAAATGGACCATTTTTCAAGAATACCATATTCTTAATGGCCCGACTCCCATTAAATTTACTCCATAAAATTGAGGTAAAAAACAGTATAGCTGTTTTGTTGCAAGGGGATTATTTTGATCAGAAATTGGTACCCAAGCATTGTTTCAGATTATCCCTGGATATGGAAAACAATTGGCTTCTTGATCAGAAGCAGATCCAGGGAGCCAAACCCAAGCTCAGCCATCTTCTCATTTTAATGTGTTAAAATACCTACAAGCTGGATCTACATCTTTTATGTTTGCAATAAAAAATGGCGTCAGCCATACACGGGGCACTGTTTTCCAACATTTTATGTTCGGGTCTGTTTTCTGTTTCCTACCGGTTGTACACAAGCTAGGACCTGTGTGGACGGCCGCTGTCCACTGTTGACCATAGCTGAGGCCAGCGGTCAGCATTTTCAAAGAAAATACAACTTCTTAGAGAATTGTTTTTACTGCTAAGTTGTAGCACACTTGTATCCGTTCTAATTAATTTCATGTGCTGGAAGTGCATTTTTGTGGAGAGGCATAAAATTTGAAAGTCAGCCCTGGTTAGGTTTTATTTCTTTTATGCAGAATGTAAAAGCAGTTGACAGCTTCCATGTTTTTCTGGGATAAAAGTGGCAAGGAGCCTTCACTTTCATTTCTGGCATTTTGTTTTGTCACTCTGAATAATGGGGTGGATGTTGAAAAAGGTTAAAGAGATGCGATTGGTTGAGGCTAAAAGAATTTGCTATGCATCATCTAAATACATTGAGTATAACATATCTGTTATCTTTAATTTTTGAAAAATAAAGATTAATTTTTAATACTTTCTTTCCTATTTTTTGACAATTTTTGATGAGAGGGAACTACTAGTAATCATTAAAAATTGATATAAGTGACAGCTCTGAAAACATAGCTACAGAAAACCCTGCACACATAGCAAAAAAGCTGAGCTTTTTGGCTGTAATAACTATAATACACAAACCAAGGACCTTATTGTTGCACCTGTCTAGGCAGCTTCACAGAACATTAACAAGTAACAACAACACACACTTGAGCAACAACAGAGGCAAGAGACCTACCCTGCAGAGATAGTACCACTATGGAGACAGGATCAAAGCTCCTTCATACAGAATTACTTGAAAACTCCTCAATGGGTTTCTTTAGATCTCAAGGAGACACAAGTATGCAGGGTTTAATATAAAGGGTTGGTAACATCAAAAAAGAACCCACTTTATCTCTGAACAAGTAGGGATGTGAAAAAAGGACAAAATAAGAGGGGGATTATGTTACCTGTGGTGGCCCTGGGGCATGGATTACAACAGGAAAGGTGGGGGAATATCTGATGTAGAATTTTTGGATGAAAATTATATGAAAGAGGAAATGATGTGAAAAGGTTATATATTTGAAGTCTGCCTGGTCAAACATGAAAATATAACAATGATGAAGTGAGCCAAAAGTTCATAGAGGTTTTCATATCTGTGCCTAATGGACTGGTGGGTTACGTAAGAAGTCATTCCCTTTTTGGTACAAAGAAAAGCTCATAGATTTTAAAACCACAAAGAGAGTGATTGAAATCAGATAATTTATTGATGAAAAGTCACAAAGAGATCACACCCCAAACAAATGTGAAAATTGAAAAAATAGAAAAATAGAGCATGCTCATCAACATTACATCTTGTGGTACAGAAAAGCTGTCAAGTCATTGTAAAGTCAATGAAGTAAGTTAAAGATCAAACATAGAAAAGTTCACCACATAAACGTAAGCGTGTCCTTCCTTTACAGCGCCCAGCGTCAAGGTGTTCACTATATTTAGGATATCAAACAGAACTTCAAAGGCATAGGGAAGTGCACATGAAAGCCTGCATTGACCTGGTCTGCATATTAAAACAGTTTTTAATATACCAGAGCGTGATTTTGATTATGGGACATGATGTCAATATGTGCATAGAAACACGTATTGATGTTTGTGTCATAGCCATAGTTCTCTTTGAGGTATGCTGAGATTAATAGAAAAGTTGTTATTATGTGTTGGATAAATAATAAAATATATGTCTGTTGCATTTGTATTATATTTTTATTTTATGAACATCTGATTGAGTGATAAAGGGTTTGTTTTTCTTTACTTTCCCCATTTTATGTTTGTTTTTTGTTATCCATTTCATATATTGATTCATCCATTCATTCATTCATTTTTTGTGTAAAATGGGGGGGATCGATCATTCTGCAGAATTTAATACATTACAGTCCATACTTATTTTTATATAAGAAGACCCAGAAAATGTCCAAAGCCCCCACCTTCCTCATTACATGAACAGTCTGGGGCAGTTTTCACTTTAGTCTGCGGCAGTGGAAAGTGACACTTAATGCAGGTTTATAAAACATGCAGTGTTTAACTTTCCTGTCATCAAATTCAAGTATTACCAGCAGCAATTTAAATATTGTATTTCTTCATCTTTTTGTGTGGTTTATCTGTTATGACAGAAGTCTTATGGATTGTTGCATTGCAATGGAGTATAAAAAGAAAGACCTGCCTTCTATGTAATTTTTATGTTCTTCACTTTTCTATTTTTTCTTTTATGTGCAATTGTTAAATGTCTGAAAGAATTTTAATGTCTGTCTTGTTTTTTAAGGCGTTCTTCCTGATTCTCCTGAAACCTGCTGGTTCTGCTATCATAGTTCAATCTATTTTAGTATTTGTGTCATCAAATCTTAAATTAGTAAAAAAAAAAAGAGTAAAAAATAGTAAAACATTTATAGATCTTCGGTAGTATCAAAGTATAAGCAGAAAACTGAAATTTTGTGTGCATAAAAATTACACGTCTTATTAGTAAGAAGTTATCTTGGTCCACACCCAATTATACATCAAAGTCAATTTCTAATTAAGTTACGCGGTTCTCACAGCACTGTGCGACATAGGTTGGTCACACTGCTGGGCATACTGAAGTAATTTCTGTTACTTTTCTTCTGCTTCTTAGAGCCACAATGGAATAACTACAAATATTGTATCAAGTGTTTTCTATTACTGGAGGGTTGTCATGCAGGAGGCCATGCTTTAAAAAAGAAGACATTTTGAACCTAAATTTCATAGCCCCAAGAAGATAGTTAGAAAATAGGAAAAGGATAACTCTTAAGGCCCAGTCATGGATAATCTTGCATTTTCAAGTTAACTCACTTATTATTTGAAATTATCTAAAAAAAACCCTTATAGCATTAAAATAGTTTGGAAATTGGAAAAGGATATATCTAAAACCCAATCTCGTGCATTTCCAAGTTGAAGTCTTTGATAATTTGAAATCCTGCAGACAGCCCTCCTCATCAATGTTCTGTGTGTCCTTACACCTCTTGGTCGCCCTGTCTGACCCCCAGAACTGGGAAATCAATGCAGCAGCCACTTTGATCTCTAGTCATGAACCAGCCCAGTGTTATAACCAGAGAGAGTGGTGTGTGTATTGGACTGGGGACTAAATTGGAGTTTGGTTTCTCTGGAGTACATGTGTACTGGAAGATGTGATATTATGAGCAGGCAAAGCAGTATTCTTGAAAATCATTAAATTTTAAGGTGGTTTATTTCTGCACTCTACAGTGTCAACAGGCAGTGATAATTCCAACTTCTCTAGCAGCTCTTCAACTCAATTAACGTCTGTGTAGTAACATTTATCATGTTATATTATATAATATATTATATAATTGCTGCATCGAAATAATTTTTTTTTTAGCTGAGATTTTCACCATTCTTCCCTCCTCTCTTTTCAGTCGTCCCTGGCACTGCTGTGATAACAACCAACAACTCTGGAACATCAAAAGAGGGTGACACCGTCTTCTTCAACTGCAGCTCCTTTGGTGGCAATCCTCCACCTACGATATCATGGTTCAGAGACAATGAGCCAATCCAACCGTCCAGCGATATCCAGTATTCTCCGGCTGCCGAGCTCGGTGGCTCCACTTCCAGTAAACTGTCATGGCGGCTTCGCAGGGCGGATAATGAGAAAATGTTTGCGTGTCGTGTGTCCAACCAAGCGAATCCATCCACACCCCGAACTGCAAATACAGCTGCCAATGTGCAATGTGAGTAATTAAACCTTACAAAATATATGATGCTTTTATAACTAACTTAAAGAAAAGTAGTCACTACCTGAAGGTACAGTTAATTTTCTTGAGAATAATCCAAGTAAATGCAAGTATCACTCAGATGTTAAAGCAATTTTGAAGATTAATAAAGTATTTTAATGCTTATTACGTGGTTGTAATTTTTGGAGAGTATAGAGAAGAAAAGGAAGAAGGGAGGGTAAAAGAAATATAATAAAGATACAATAACATTCAGTGTATGAAATAATACTTTAAAAGTAGAGACAGCACTAATAGAACATAACCTAAGCACAAATATAATTTGTTAAATTTTTATTTTCTAGTTGCCCCTGTTGTTAATTTTGGCCCCTACAACCCTCTGATCCTTAGAGAGGGTGCGACAGAACAAGTGGCGTGCACTGTAGAGGCGAACCCTCAGGTGACATCTGTGGAGTGGCTGATCGATGGAGTCAGCATAGGCAGTAAGTGATCATGATATCCTGATATGATGTTCTGATGTGATATTCTAAGACACTGCTGTTAGTATGTCCTAGTAGCAATATTAGATGATGTCCTTATACATTGCTGTCACTTTGTCATAGTAGCAGTAATGGATGATGATGTATAAAATTAAAACTGCATATTGACATTGATATATGAAGTAGATATGAACCTATTTGGTATTTGATGATTTACTTAGGTGTGTTTTACTATTAAAAAAGCAAAAATCCCCAACAGCAATATTACCATGATTTTGCAACATGCATGCTATTATGGAAGTGTTCTGCAAACCATTGTGTTAGTTGAGATCCTGATTGTGTCTGGAGGAGAAAGAACACAATTGTTGTTCAGTTGTCATTGTGTTGTTTTAGATACCAGATCAGTCAGACTCCTGGACCCAGTCAGGTTGACAGATAGAGGGCAGCACACATGCATCGCCAGAAATATCATAGGCTCAAGCAACGCTACGTTAACTCTTGATGTTCAGTGTGAGTAGATGTTAAGGTTTCTCAGAATATTAATGCTATTTTGACATTAATTGATATTACTTACACAAACATCAAATAGATAAGGATAATAGTAACACATTGGGATATTTCAAATGGTATTTCTATCTGTAATTTGTTATGTAACACATTTTTGAAAATAATTTATAAAAAATGTGTATTTGTTATTTTCAGACCCTCCAAAAATAGAGATTATTAATATCCAAGAAGGCAACCGGCTCACAGTAAATGAAAGTTCTCGTGTCAACTTAACGTGTAGTGTCAGAGCCAACCCTCCGGCAACAGAGATAGTCTGGAGAAAGAACGGGACCCTCCAGGTGGCGCAACCTGCTCTTATATTTCAGACAGTGACTCGCAACAGGGCTGGCATGTACAGGTGCACTGCGAAGAACACGCTGACATTATCTAAGCGTTCTCCAGAGGTCCAGGAGAGCAGCAAACCTGCGGAACTGGTAGTGCAATGTAAGTGTAGGGTCTTCTGATAGTGGGTGGTGGGTAAAGAAACAATGAGGTTACCGTCGGGGTTGATTAATATATGGCATTAGCTTGGTGCATGAGACGAAAAAATATCTGATAGATATAGAAAATAATTAACTTTGTAATAAAAGGATAATGCCTATATTTGTGGATAGTGAGTGAGACAGGAAAAAAAGATAGAGAGAGAAAGAGAGAGAGAGAAAATAAAGTGAGAAAAGGGTCAATTACTAAATAAGCACTTCTTCCTACCTATCAGATCGTCCCGGCCGTGCAGTAATCAACGCCCATCCTGAGGTGGTCATAGGCGACCCCATCAACCTGAAGTGCACTGTGGGAGACAAGGGTATTCCAGAGGCACAGTTGTTTTGGGAGAGGGTAGGGAGCACCACACAGTACAGCCCAGGCGAGGACCTCAACATTCCACGGGCAGCACTGGATGATAATGGCAGCTACAGGTGTACACCTAAAAACAAGCTCGGCAGAGGGCCACATGGAGAGATCAGTGTGGGAGTCAATGGTGAGTTATATTGTTGAGATATATATTATTTATATTTTTGAGAGACATTTTAATAACATTTTTTATTATTGGCCATTAAGAAGATACAAACTGTTTAGTTCTTGAGAAACAATTTGTTCTTTCTACTAATAATTTAAGTATTAGGATTATATTAAGTTCTTTATTTTTTCAGAAATTCCCACCTGGCTGCAGCAGAACTCTATCTTCCCCGCGCGATCTGTGAGTGTGGGAGACGTCGGGATAAGGCTGGCGTGTCGTGCTAGAGGGAAACCTGCTCCGAACATAGAGTGGCTGAAGAATGGCGTCCCCATTGAAAACAATGGGGAACTGTTCACTATCAGGACGGAAGAGAAGATTATTGACACCTACAGTTATAATGTAACTGGATATTTGGAGTTTAGAGGTAGGTTTGTCATTTTTGTGGGAATATTCATTAGGTGATGCCTCTTTTGTGCTAATCTTAGTTTTAGTGTCTTAGATGCACATCTTCGGAAATGGTTTTCATGTATACTGTTTTGGAAAGAGTAACGTTGAGAAGATTCAGTTGTGAGGAATTCTGCTTCAACCTTTGCTTGAAATATACACCTATAAATGTATAAGAAATGTCAATGACTGTTTATAGTAAGCTCATCAATTAATGTAAGAAGTATTTATTTGAGGATAAGCTTTCAGAGATAAAATTATACAATGCTCACGCCAGTACTGTTCCTATATCCAGGTACTCAACGTCTGACAGGTATCCAGGTAGATGACACAGCTAACTACACCTGTCTGGGCTCCAACCACCTTTCTGAGAGCAGAGGAGGCGGCAAACTCTCCAGCTCTGTAGAGCTGCTTGTTAGATGTAAGTAACCTGAGATGAGAAAATCAGATGGTGAAAGATTGCTAATTGGATTTGGATTTGTGTCTCATGTTTTTTTTTTCAAAAATTCAGATTTCAGAGCAAATGAACATGTTTTAATTTGAGTACCTTAGAAGTTCATTAAATAGGACTGAAATAATATTGCATTATAATGATAATAAGCTTTAAGTTATTCTTCAGCAGACTTTTATGTTGCTGTAATCTGAGGTCTCATATACTCCACAGACCTTATCTCTCAATGCCCTTTTTTTCACTTTTCCCAGATGCCCCAATGCTGGACAGAACACAAGACAAAGTGGCAGTGGACATGAACCAGACCGCCTCCCTGGTCTGTCAATCACAAGCCTATCCCGCGGTAACCTTCCGTTGGATACGTGCAGGACAGCCAATCACAGCAGATGGTAGGCGGAGCTTCAGTGAGAGTTCTGGGGCAGGGCTCCAGACAAGCACCCTGACTATTACCAGGGTCTCCCAGGGTGACTTGGGAAATTACTCCTGCATAGCTACGAACCCTGTGGGAGAGACTACTGTCAATATAGACCTTACTGTGAGAAGTAAGTTGGGTGTTATTTATTTACTATTTATATTTATCTATTTATTTACTTTGAATCATTTTTACGGTTTTCATTCGAAATATATGAAGTTATATGCAATTCTTGACAACATGCATCTTTTATGGACAGTTTTGTCACTTTCCACAATTTAAGTCTTTATTGTCATTACTTTTCATTTTTTTAATCCCAATTTCTCTTACATTTGTGTAAAATATCTTCAATAACCCTGGCGCTTTCACTTTCACTTTCCTCTACCAGGGCAACCAGATGCTCCTACCAACCTACGAGTGCGAGAGAACACCTGGGACTCTGTGCTACTGGAGTGGACGCCAGGATTTAATGGCGGCTATGACCAGACTTTCGTCATTGTGAAGACCAACAGCAGTGGGAAGGAAGAGATACAGGTCGGGTTTGTCATGCAGTACAATATAACAGGTAAGTTAGCCAAGTAAGTTAATCAAGTTTAAATCATGTGATTATCTCATAAAGTTGCTATTAATATAAAAATGTTGTTTTAGTAGTAGAACATAAAAGAACTCATTTTATGAAAATTTAAATGGAAATAGTAGTTTATACATTTTTATGTGCAATAATTATTATTCCAAAAAAAAATCTTTGCAGCCTTTAATATGCTTTCCTTCAAAATCTTAATTTGTATTCAGATGTGTGATAATATATATTAAATTCCATTTTCCAGGTTTATTTCCTGACACCTCCTACACATTCCAAGTGTATGGTAAGAATGCACTGAAGGCTGGGGATTACTCTCAAGGAGTTCCTGTGAGGACGGCAGGTGAGAACTGTACCACTGGTATACTGTATAACAGTACTGTACATAAAAAAGGAAAATAACTGGAAGCAATATTTATTTTTATTTGCACGATAACTCAAGCATTTGGTCACTCTATCAATGGAAGTAAGGGTATTTTGACAATAATTTTTAAAATGCAGGTATGTTGCCTGATGACATATTTACAATATTTATCAATTTTAGCTTTGTATGAAAATCATCCTAGGTTAATAGCAGTGCTTCACTAATTCATATCTAAGCATCTCTTTTATAATTTCTTTCAGCATTATACGTCCCACCAGCCAGTGATGCTACATTCAATGGTGAGACGGGAACCCTGCAGTTTAAGTCCCAGTATGACCAGTACTGCATACGTGTGGAGATTGAGAAGAAGAACGCAGAGGGTGTCTTGGAATGGCAGGAGGCAACACCATGTGCGCCACCTACAGTTGGGGACAATTCTATCAAAATCCAAGACAGTACTGTGTCATCACTTCGAGTTGCCTTGTGTCTGACCAGTCGGCCTGAAGTCTGCGGAGCTTTCAGTGTCGTCAATGCTACAAGAGGTGAGTAGTTTTGTTTATCAACTTGTAATGAAAAACTTGTAAAATGGAAATCTTAGACTAGATGCAGTGCCTTTAGAGACCTTGAAGTAAATAACAGCTTCTTGATAGTTGATTCAAAATCTTTGGGCTATGTACACAGACAGTTTGGCAATTAAAATTGGTATGATTATTAACATAATGATCTTTAAATCAGGATTATTTTAGGCAATAACTAACATGAAAAAATGCTTCTCTGGGACTGCTTTTAAATGCACCAGCTTTTAAAATGAGCACTGTAAAATTGTTGGTCGTCTTAAATTGAATCATGAAACGAGAAAGTAATTTGTATACAAGCTGAGAATTGTAGCATATTTGTTCTGTCTGTTGCATAAACCCCTTACAGCTTTAATCTACTGCTACCACCAGATACTTTGCGTTGCACCCTTTTTATCTCGTCTCTGTTTTTGTGTCTGTTTGTAGTTCTCACACCCCCACCTTCAGGTAAGAGGAGCTTACTGTACTTCTTTTAATGGGACTTTGGGTTGTGTTGACTGTAATTGTGTACATTGTGTTAGCTGTGCATTCTGGGTGTGCTGTGATTGTGCTGGAGGAACAACTAGCGCAATGGTGTGAAGTGATGTTGTGATTGTGATTTTGTGGTCTGTTAAAGTTTGGCTGTATACATATTTATATTTATAATAAATTATGGAAAATTAATTCATTGGTGAAGGATGTGAATATATTTTATGTAATCATGCATGTTGACGTGGGCTATTGGATAAATTGTGAATATATGGTGATAGTTCCCCTTGCCCCAAACGTGTAATCTATAAACCTCTCCAAGCCAGCTGATATTACTCATGATTTGTCTTACCCACATAACAATATTTTGATTTTACTTTTTATTTCAACATATTTTGTATTATTTGTATATGTTACCTGTGACTGTTATGTTGTTATTTATTGATATATACACTATTTTACAGTTAAGTGTGTACCTTAGAAAAGGGTTATTTTGCATGGGGTTTCAACAAACCTGTTTTAACAATGTCATTTATATTACTGTATTAGATGTGATTTATATGTTTTTTATTTATTTATTCATTATTTTGAGGGTGGGTATGAAAAAGAACAATGATATCTGCTCAGGTAAAATTAAATTGATTATCAGACCAGACTTAATATACAGCTATATTGACTAGTAATACTAGGGTTGGACAATATTAGGGCTTAATACTGTGACTATTGTTGTGTAATGAATTGTGCTTTGTTTATTATTCTGCAGTAAAAATCCATTAATCTGCAGCTAATCCGTGGCATAAAGGCCAGAATGGGGGGCACTATTAACTTTTTGATCTCAATTGAACAATGCTTATGAAAACAAAGAGATATCCCCCCTTTACAATTCATTGTGCTGTTTACTGGTGAGGCTTGTAATTATATTGATGATTATAGGTGAGTTTGTAAATAGGACAGGTTGATTTCCAATGTGATTGAGGTGTATAAAGAACACCTGGTGAGACCCTAAGGCTGTGACAGCTTTAACAGGGGATTACACCCAGAGTAATCATATCAACTAGGACATATTAACTGTTTTAGTGGCTTCTGTTCCTGAAGTGAGTATTATTGGTGTTCTGTTAATTCTAAAATTTTTGGGGTAAATGGCAGTTCAAGTATTAGGAAAAAATGGTTAGAAATTTGTTAAATTATGTGAAACCTAGAAGTCTTACTGAAATTTGTCTGGGAGTTGTTTACGGCCTTTCTTGGTGAAATCGTGATAATGCTTATTCTTGCAACTTACAGGCAGATTGTACATGTCCTATAAAAGAGTGCTAATAGTAACTAAAACACATAGTGAGACCATTCTAGTCAAAAAATGTGAAAGTCGCAGTTAAATTAGATTTATATCACTTGCTAACGAGAATTGTCTGGAATCTGTGGCTGTTTTTCAGTGACAAATATTTATACCAGTGTTCAGATTCAGATTTCTATCTATACTTCACAGCAATAGGATATCCTCCTACGTGTCACAGTCAACACTTTAATATATACATCAAACCTGGAAAAAGGCTCTTGCTACACACAAAACATGCTTAAGAAAAAGAGGGATAAAAAAGTTGTTTTGGCATGCCATTCTTCTTTGGCTTCTAACTCAGTGGGGTTGTGTCTACATTTTGAGAGATCTCATAATTCCACTCAGTAGATAGCTTTTAAGTGAAGTATATAGGAGAGTGTAGGATACTGCGGTTACCAGGCTTTCTCTACATGATATCCATGCTTTTACTCCAAATTCTTTGTGCTCAAGAGAGAAAAAAATATTAAATGAAGACCTGTGATTTTAACAAAGAAAGATGAGTTAAAATCTAGCCATATATATTTAATGGTTAACTCATGGAATTATAGTCTGACATATAAAACATAGGTTGGAGCACATTTCTATTCATTAATTTTTTAAATCGTTATTTGTTAGGTGCTGTTTTGCTCGTGAAGACATATAAAAATTGATATGAATATTTTATATCTCATTCTGAGCACCATACTGATCACTAGAATCATTAACAAAGATGTGGATCACCATATCACACTCTTTCCTGATATATGACATCCCACAATGGCAGGTGACGTTGGAGAACACTATGTTACTATAGCAACAGGTCTAGGTGATGGGCATAGAACAAGGTGTAATTGTCTCTGAGCTAGTCTTCCTCAACCTGTCGTGCTGGTACTAATGAGAGTCTGTATTGTCACCAGGTGATTATTTGGTAATGATCCACAAGGTGGTCGATATGTATTATGTAAGAAAATGTCTTTCTAGACTGAAAGGACGATGTGACATACAGGCGTGCAAATGTTTGAGCTCAGTTAAGATGAGATTAGAGTTTATTTAGCCAGTTATAAAAAAAGAAAATCATTTTCCTTTTGGAGCAAGTTTGATCATATACAGAGTAAAATTAATACAATAGATAAATAAAGAGCTTGGTTTAGAGATCAAATTAAAATGCATCACTTTAAGTTGCACATGTACCACTATCAGTCATGTGAAGTGAAATCAACACAAAGTGAAATGAACGTGCTGTGAAATCTACAAGGAAATTGACGCGGCGTTATGGTGTCAAATATGCAGTTATGGCAAATGGCAGCTAGTTTATGCACTCACAGCAAATAACGGAATGAAATAGATGCTAATATTCTAGGGTGACATGTGAGGTATTACATGAACCCTGGACTCGGGTGGGGAACAAATTACAGCAAATTAGTTCTCACCAATCTGTAGCCAAATACCTGGGAGAAAGAAATCAGAGATGTTTCTGAGTATCCTTCATTGTGTATCCACAGAAATCTCTTAGTTCAACAACATTCCTTTTTGACAAACAGACCTCAGATTCCACTGTAGTGTAAACAGTCTTTCAAATTATACCAAAACACATGGGCCATCAGGTAGACACTAGATGAAGTGATCTTTTAGGAAAGTTTTCTCTCTGTTCTTTTGTTGAATACTAGTGAAGAATGTTTCCAAGAAAACTTATTTAGATTCTTATTCATAAGATGAGAAGAAAACTGATTGAGAATGCTATCTAATGAGAACAGTGTTATAAGATGCAAGGGAAATCAAATATATTGTTGATTGATTAGCAAATAAAGAATCTGGACAAGAATGAAGGTAGGCAAACAAAAGAAAAAAATTATTTGTCTTTGTCAAGAAGACAGACTTAACCACAATATATGTCAAGGATTTAATTGCAAGGGAAAACATTAATAATTTACAGTAGATCTCATATTTGACAAGCCTGTGTACATTGCTGAACTTTGATTGACAGTGGGAAATAATGATTAGAGTTTGACAGAGCAAATTGACAGATGATAGATTTGAGAGGCACTTGTGTGACTATGTACTGGTTGATTGATCCAGAGAAGGACTGCTGTGTATCACAGCTAGCTTTATATTGAGCTGGATTGGAAGAGAGCTGGGGCTCAAGAACATCAATTTTCTGAAAATTGCTAAAAATTTCCTTTAAATATTGACTTTAAAGTCACATTTTAAGTATAAATATCCACATAAGAGGCCTTCATCAAAGTAGCAATTACACCTAATTAAAAGTCGTTGGCATGTGAATGGTCTCTGGATAAAAATTGACTTTCTCACAGAAGGTCACCCCCTGTGCGGAGCCCTGTTTATGACACACCTGGAAGGTAATGGGAAAGCCGTCCTCATCATAGAAAAGTCTGGCACAGTCAGCCGTAGAACACTTACAGGTTTCAAGAGGAGAGAGAGAGAAAACACGATACTTTTTAGGGCTTGAAGATAGAGGTGGAATGTAACACCCACAGCTTAAGGGTTTAGGGAAGGAAGACAAGACACATTTAAGAGTCAGATAGACAAAACAGGAGAGTAAAACACTGTCAAACTGTTGATGCCAGCTGCTGATAATGAGAATTGTTCCAAGGACACCATCTTGATATATACAGTTACCTTCATTGAGAGGAATGTTAACCTAAGGTGACAGTTAAAAGGTAGATGATTGCACTGGCCACTTGAATACATCCACAGGGTCTGGACACTAGTTTTGGACAGTGTCCACTGGTCCTAGACAGTCTCCAGCAGACAATATAAAAGACATACTCACAGCCAGGTTGTGGAATTGAGGGCCTGCTGTAGGAAGTGTCCAGAAGAGATATGTGCAGTGTGGGATGTATCTTTATTAACAGCCTTGAAAATTGGTGGTTTTGAAAAAATACATGGAAAATACAGGAATTCACTGATAAACTCATCTTCAAACCAGCGATTCAAGGACGATTCCTTTAGTGTACAAAGTTGTTGTCATTTAAGTCTGCAGCACATCCAGGTGCTCACACAGTCTCCACTTGTGTGCGTGAGGAGCTGATGTCACGGACAGAGGCTGTCCCAGCTGTCTGAGTGTCGTTAAGTGACTGTCCCCTCTCTCACCTGTACCACTACACCTGGTGTCATCAGCTGTGGCACGTGTCACAACCTGTGTGGTGCATGACAATCCACAGCCAAGCTCTCACCAGTGACTTCTTCATAGTAACACCAGCTGGAATTGAAGAAGAGTTTCGTTTTTTGTCTTTGACGATTTTTCTCACTAGTTTTGTAGAAGACAGTTTGGAACATCTCTGCTTGTATTTTAGAGATAGTTTTTTTTTTTTTTTTTTGTTGGTGGAGAAACTACTTTTGTTCCAATCATCCTGGAAGAATTACAAAACAGATAGGATACAGTTGCTTCTTGAAAAATTCACATAGCATAATAACGGAAACACCAGATAGAACTAGATAGACTAGAAGAAAGAGGAGGTTTAGAGAATAACACCATTTCACCAGTTAATTAGAATTTGAAACACAATCAGGAGTTTCATTTGGAAACTTCAACCAACAGCGACTTTGTAATTGGAGAACAAAGAAAGAAAATGTTTGGTACTGGATGCAGCTAGAATTAATTTTACGGCTGAGAGCAAGCGTCACAGGGAACTAAATCTTGTGAAGT